AAAAATATGGTCTTCTACCTACACAACGTTTAAGAGTTTATTCCAAAGAATATTACCACAATGTAGTTACAGAAACTAACACAGCATGATATTTCAAATGATGTAATGTCGTTTCCGTACAACCGTCTTTTTAACTAGCCGTTAAAATTATTTATTTATTAAAATTGAAAAGTTTCACTTAACCATATTGTTTACTTACTTAACAGCATTGTTTTATTTTTACTTAACAACACCCGTAAAGGACCAATGAGGTTCAAGGATTGAGAGAAAAGAAGTAATTATAATCATAATTATTATTCAGGCCAATTTAATTTTTTGTGGTGCAATTAATTAGTGTTTGGTACAATGATTCGTTCCAATCACTGTCAGTGGCAATGAGTGGTTATAAACGAAAAAAACCACTCTTAGAAGTTATGAGTAGTGATTGTTAGTAATTAAAACACTGTCGTAGGTAAAGTAGTATACGCGTAATAGTCTTAACGACACTCGCAGAAGTTTTAAGGCACTCGCCAAAGCTTGTATCTAAACACGTAAACAACTATTTACCTTTAAAACTATGAACATTTGTTTTTGTAACTTCTTAGATTTCAAGAATAGTTCAAACTTAACCATTATCTTAATGTTATAACATTTCTATACGTTGCAGGAAAAAAGGTTCATGGAATAACACAATCACCTATGATTTGAACCTGTATACAGAAAATTAAAGTGACGGGCTAGGTTGTAAAATTATTTCTTAATTAAATCCCGTTTATTTAAGATCAATGGTAATGTTGTACTTAAAACATAATAAAGTTAAATCATTTAAGTTTGTGAGATGAAATAAATGGTAGCCATCGGGACCTAAACGTTTCTTTATTAGCATAATTAAGTTAATTATACTCATTTATCATTATTATTTAGACGTAGGCCTATTAATTATCGTTTAGCTTAATGTACCATTGCAATGTGATTTTATGTAACAGTAAAACTCTCTGTTTATCATTGCCAATACACAGATTCAAAAATAGTTATTTTTATACTAATTTATTTATGGTTCAATTTACAATTTTTAAAATTTACTTAACAAGAAGAAATTGATACTATCGAATATCCTACTTAGTCATAATAGTTTTAAGCAAAGATCCTCTATTTTTTCGAAGCTCAAATGGATTAGATGTATATATTCTGCAATCATAATTTGATTTAGGGTACAGATTAATCTAACATTTTATACGTTAATGTATATTATGTTTTTTTTTTATTTATAAACTTATGGTGTAAGAAACCTTGGACAGTTTAGATGAATTATGGAATTTATACCTTCAGCTTTATGGAGCAATCAATCATAAAATGTTATATTAAGTTGAATTATTTAGAAAGTGGATTAGAGAACCATATGTTTTTGCAATAACTGTACTGACTCTATTAAATTATGAATGTCTCCAGGTTTTCTATAAACAAATACATCCCTTGTTATTTTATTGAGCAAGGTGTTTTAATTAATCGACTTTTGAAATAGCGTCTAAGCGTCTTTTAAAATACGTTTTGAGTGTACGCAATACGTTTAATTTCAAACAAGACAGAGCAGACGTAACTGTTGGTTATATCATAGATAAAACACACTCCATTAGTAGATTCCCCATCCTCTTGGAACAGCTGAAGCCAATTTTGTTGTTAGTTCTGTCCGGTGCACTGTAGAGGTCGTGTTTTGCTTACAATTTGTTTCTTGTTATTTCAGCCATTTAAAAAACCCATTTAATCAATTAAAACGATGTAATCACAAACATTAACTTACCCTCTAGTTGTTTAACCAAATAAAATCATGAAATTAAACCCTAAAATGATAAAAAAAATCGTCGACACTAGTGATCAGTATCACCGGACATGAACTAGACGAAAACGGAGCTTCAAAATGTACAATTGTGTAATAGCTATTTTTTGATTACAAGTGTAGTAAGAGCGTTTTTACATCACGCAGGTGAATGTTGTGCAACGAGCGAAGGCGAGTTGCATAATTCACCGAAGTGATGTAAACACGCTCTTGCGTAACGTGTAACGTACAAGATTTTACCTGACCCGACAATATTCAGGAGGTTACGAGCAATATGCTTCATTATCAATTTCACTCATCTTCTAACAGTAACGTTCATTTACAAACAAAAGCTAGGTTAGGAAAATTCTTCAAAGCATAACAATAAAATTCAAACACACAGCTGATTTCTAGCGTTGAACGTCGTTGGCTCCATAGAGGTATATTTTTTAAGTTATCCACTCAATGTTATTTAAATGGGTTTCATTACATCACCGAGTGAGTTTTTTTCAACTTTACATCACTCGAGAAGTAAGGAAGTTGTATACATCACGCTTGGGATAGGGAAGTTTAACATGGCGGGTTAGGTAAAAGGTTATACTGATTCTTATATTGTTTGTTAAAAAAAAATCCAGCAAATTTAGTTATAGTATGTAAGAAGCAAAGTTGATTTATTTTAATTGTTTGTAGTGGTAACATTGTTTCTTTTTTCATTTCTCTCACTAAGTTTGATTTCATTCATAGTTCTGTATCTCATGGCAGGCAAATCTCGTAGACATTGTAAGTACAAAATATTATTATCCATTATAATCTAGGAAAGTTAAATCTGAAATGAAAATTTGTATTTAAAAACTATTGAACATGGATATGGGAAAATAATATTCACTGTTGGTTAACCTCAAATTCTAAAATATGTTAAATTAGGTTATAAGTATGTTAACTTGCAAAAAGCACATTGTACGAAAGAAAATGGTACTTGAAATTTATATTTAGAATAGTTATATTAGTAATATTTATGCATTTGTATATTTTTTTACAGACGAGTTCCTGTATTAAAATAGAGCTCTACGGAAGGTCATCATAAAGTAAGATTGTTTCAATTAAATAATTATTTAGGACTGAGATACAGAGGTATAATTTAACAAAATGAAAAGTATATATTTGTTATGATTTCATTTATTTTATTAATAAAATGTCAGTGATGTACATGGAAATGAAATGGCTTCTTTTTAACTTAGGCTAAATCCTATTGAAGTTATATAGTTCTGTAGTATAAATTATTATTACATTTATACTTGTTTATTGGACCTTACGAGTACAAGGTCTACTTTTGTTGGTTAGTCTAGAGTCATATTATTCTGAGACATGAAAAGGTTACGTTACGGGTTACATACAATCATATCTTTACATTTTAACTATAACAATGATACGTGCATTATATATTATGGTATGAAACCACAATGGTAGAAATAGTCTTGTGAAACATGCCAAACGTTATTGTCATTTTTCAAAATGAAGCAGCCACTTGACTGCAATGTCTGGTCTTATACGAAACCCCCCTCAGAACTTCAAGGAAACTTAGTAAAGCAAGTCTACTTATGGTGTAGACATTACTATGTAAAGAATAGTGTTTCATATAATTAATTAAACACCTCCTATTAGTGTAGAATTCTTTTACAAAATCATCATGAACTTATCGGTTGCTCATAATGTAATAGTGTGCGGGTTAAATTAATAATTTAAAGTTTGGTAGGGATAGTATTACCAAGAAGATCAATTAAAAATCTTTGTGCAAACTAAAACAATCTCCCACCATTATTTTTTTTACTTTAAGAAAGTTATCAATGCGCATTTTGAATTTTCCCTAATCCTTGTAGTAATATAAATTTGAAATGTCAGATTATCATAGATACTAACTTTATTCATACTCGATAACCTACAATAGGCCAAGAAAACGTCATAAATTTGCCATATGAAAAGCTCGTAAAGGCTCGACACAAGCTACTTGTTGAACTTATGGGTCATTGAAAATGCATTGCTTTTAATATTACCTCGGGGAGCTAAAGGTTTTATCCTTTTTGTTTACATTAACTTTTACATATAATTTACAATTTTTTGCAAAACAAGAGCTTAGTGCACGTTTTTAAACGTTGTTTCCTAATTTACTATACAACCAATTAACCCAATAACTACTAGGAGGGTTAATAACTATATTTTTGTATTTTGCTGAAATAAGGTTAGTATCACAGATGTCACCATTAGAAAATCTTTGCTCCATTTCGATTTAGCACGCTGTATATAAACTAAATGGATAATGTTATGCTAATAATTAAACATACTGAATTCGTCGACAATTCTTTATGACGGAGAAAACGGTAAATGTAAGAAAATCTATTGCCCTTTAGATTGTTAAGAAACACCATGGTAAGCTCGTAAGCCTAACATTAGGTCAATAATAGTGCCTATCCCATGTTACCAGATATTTTTAGTAACAGGAGTCGGGTTAGTGGTTGCAATCATTACCTGCATGCTGCTCTGTTTTGTGTTCAATTTAATCTGTTGCTCTAGCGTGATTCAACTTAATGACAACACTCTGATATCATAGAGCACGTTACAAAAAAACCTTTAAAATGAAAAATACAGTAGAAATTAACTTCTTTTATAAAAAAGACTTCAAAAGGTTATCAAGATCAATTTTATATCTAAATTTTTTTAAGTTTGTTAAGAGAAGCTGAGTGCTCACATGAAAGCAAAACTGTTGTCGGTTCGGTCTTTAAAGAATCTGAAATGTTTTGAGGGTTTAAAAAAAGACCTAGTTTTTCTTCATTTTTGCGCATGAATAAATTTGTCACGTTAGAGAAACACGTGTTCTTAGTTTCTGGCAAAGCGACAAAAAGCATCCAACCCCATTATACACTCAACACTCTCTCGCGTTTGGGTTAAATACGCCCAGTCCTGCCCTCTTTCAGTTGATAGTGAAATAATAAAAACACACGAATATATGAGAGCATTGTTGATTATAAAAACACACGTATATACATATTCACGTTTTATAATACCTTTATGAGAGAGACGCAAAGATTCGTTGTAGCCTCACAATGTACGTTAAATTTGTACTTTGTCGCACGCCAATCATTTGCCAACTTCCTATGCTTATCCGCTTTACACTTAGCACCCTAAATACAGTTAGGTATTTAAAAACCAAAACTGGGAAGTACAAATTATTTATTTCCTAAGTAAAAATAGATAAATAAGAGGTAATTAACACTAACGAACTACAGGCTCCGCATTCTCTGGGGGCACCATGAAGATCCAATCTACCCAGAGGGGTTGGTAGTCAACTGCTGGGTAGTCCAGGGTAGCAACATCGTCCAGCTCATCCGCTGTGTCAAACATCTGGGGTTTAGAGCCGTAGGGGTAGTGCCCGTAGATGGGGTAGTCTTCGTAGGCGTAGTCGTAGGAAGGTGCGGGGTAGTCCAAGTTACCGAAGTCTAGCTCACCCAGGCCGAAGTCTCCCAGTTCGAAGTGACCCAGACCGAAATCTCCCAACTCAAACAGGAACGTTTCTATCGGCAGCTGGAACAAAGCACTCGGAAAAACAAAATGTTGGGCTAAAGTGCGATTACAGCTATTTATATGTTATGCTATCAGGGTTTGATGAAAATTAAACTTTATGAAATTCGTAAGCTCTTTTAAAGTTAAAAAAAAAAACGTCTAAGCAAATGTTTTTTTGGCTTAAAGTTGAATTTATATAAAATAATGATATCATCTCTTACATCCTTTGAAGTACGAAAATATACTATCAAAATAATGGTTGAACCTCAATTAAAAACTTTCTAAAACAATATCCTTCCAACATAGACCCACTGGTCTGTGCATCAATCTTAATACAATGAAGGTCCGTTACGATACTTCTCATGGGTAAGACAGTTGAAACTGCAGGGGTAAGATTGTACTGGTGGTACCGAACCAGCAGACCCTCGAACCAATAAACCCTGGATTATCAGCAAAGCCACTACCAAATTAAGAAGTTCAATCAATCAAAATAACTTTATTCATATTGCACATTTTGTACATAATGGAGTCAGTTATAAAAACACCATATTAAACTTAAGACTACTTACAAAGAATATTGTTATTATCAAAAATCAAATTTCATGAAGTTAGAAAAAATATTCTAATTTATACAAGGGTCTGTCGGTGAGAAATAATTTCAAACGTTTTTTAAATGAATTAAAATTACTTATATTATTTATATTGTCAGGTAAGGTATTGAAATATTTAACACCACTATAAGATGGGATTTTTTCATAAACCGATAAATTATGTTTGTTGAACGCCAATTCATTACATTTTCTGGTTGAATACATAAAAAAAGAGTTCAATTTTGGCAATCTTTCATGGTTCGATTTAATATAAAGGGCTATTTGATAAATGCATAAGCTAAAAGTTACTGTGTTTTGAATGTTCTTGATTGTAAACTATAAAATTGTATCATCCCTATTGAAAAGGCGCCACAATGTTCAAATTGTGACATAGTATATAATTAGATACGTAATTATTCGTTACACAACAATAGATCATCATTTCAACGAATTAAAAAATAGGAATTCATGTTTAAATATTTACCTCGAAGTCAATGTTTTCAATGCCTTTTTGCTCATCGTCCACGTAATAGAGGTCTACTTGGAGAACTGGGACGATTATGTAGACCCATGGTAGCTGTAAAATAATTCTGTATAAAGTTGTTGAAATTTAAAATGATGTTATGAGGATAAATAAAATAAAAATCTTTTGTTCAAATTCTGAAAACATGTAATGATATGGCGTGGTAATACGGAGGAGATTTATTAAATGAATTTTAGCAATATCTCTTTCAGAAATGTATAGTTTATTTATTTAGCTATTCATTAATCAGATTTAAATTAAATTAGAAATGCAAGTGTTACGAAGGATGCTATTCCAGCTGTGATGGTACATCACATCCGTTTGCCTACCCGATGACTCATTTAGGAAATCTTTGGTGATGAAGATTGAAACTGATCAATCAAACATGTGTGTACATATAATAGTCATTATTGAATGTTAACATGCTATCTAGGTCCATTGGACTCTAGACTAGTTGTTGATGGCGATTATGAGGTAAATTATACTCGCTTCAGTGTGTAAACCAATGAAACCTTACCCCCACCCCCCTATTACCTCACTAGGAGCAGCCGCCTGATCATAGACTCCAAGGGCTGTTTCTAAAGGGTTGTTTCTGTCCCCAAAGCCGAAGTAGTCTCCGTACTCATGCAGATATTCGTCATCGTAGGCACCGTATTCATCGTAGTATTGGTAATAGTCGTAGTCGTTGTAGGCGAAGTCTGTGTACTGGCTGTAGTAGTCCGTGTAGTAAGACTTGGCGTAGTCCCCGTAGGCCACGCTGGGCTTCACGTAGTCCGTGGTGGGGTAGTAGTAGTCGGGGTAGACCGCATTTGTAGCCGGCCCGTAGTCGTAGGCATTGTAGTAGTCCGTCACTACTTCTGGGACGATTGGGTCTTGTGCCCTGGCGAACTAGAATAAACAATAAAGTTTGTGATTACGAATGATGTGAGAGGCAGTAGTTGACCACTGATTCCTTCCGTTTTGGCATACTTAAGTTTATATTATAAACTACAGAGCAAACCTTTTCTTCACATTATACTACGGATGCGATAACGCAATTATAGAGGTGTATCACCAGTAAATATTTTATATGTCCATATCTACGTAAATGACATTAAATTGCTAAAACATACAAAAAAACAAACATCCTAAATTGAATACGTAAAATACAAGGGTTAAATCTGTGAACTCTGTGAAGATTGATCGATTTAGCATCGTTGTCAAGATGAAAAGCTTTATGACTATAAGTTGTGGCTTATTTTTAGTTTACATGCAATCTGTAAATTTATTCTAAAGAACTATTATTGCAAACCTCTTTCAATTTACTACAACTCCCTGTGTTCAATTGTGCAAAAATTGTTTGTAAATGTGAGTTAGCATATAGAATATATGTAACTTGTGTTAAAATAAACGTTTTACATCCAACATTTTTTAGATACTTAAATACAAAAATACCTGTGTCAATAGAAAGATCCTAAATAAATAGAAAAACGCCTAAAAAACTTATTAAACGTGTCTATTATTATCACATTTCATCACGTTATAGTGCTGATGTGCTTTAAATATAAATCTACAATATCAAACTAAATGCTTAGGAGCTCCAAAACCGTACTTAAACATAGCTTTAAATCAATAATACATATCTAAATGATAGTTAAAAGCGCTAAAGGTTTCATTAAATAGCTATTACTAAGTATAATTTTAAATTTCGTTTATCATGATTCGCAGACTGATACTAACTTTAAAAACAATGGTTTGGAAAAAAATATGCTCTTTGGAAGAAACAGGCTGCCTAAATAATATAAAAACCGTATAATAATATAAAATCTTTATGTGGCTACAGCTACGACATAATTTAACGTAAACCGAAAGAGAATTGGAATAAGCCATAGATTGTGAATCGTTGATTGCGTAAGACTTTATTACCTAGAGACTTTATTACTTTTAATAGGCATACCTTATCTTTTATTACCTTAAGACTTTTAATATCTACCAAAATCTTTTCTAAAGATAAAGTAAAAAAAATGTAGGTCATACAATGTAAGTTTACTACTACACATGTTCAGTGGAATGTTTCTTTTAAATATCATCACTTAAATATATTAATATAACGTAACTATGATGAAAATAAAGTGTATAAAAACACCTAACCATGTAAACTAATAATACTTGTTTTATTTTAAATGCCCGTCTGTATTTTGAGCACCAAAAAAATGCATTACCAATACCCCTAAGAAGATACAACGATACAACGAATTTACATCTTTATCCTCTATGGAATATGTTCCCAAAACATGCTGTGATATTTGAAAACTGTTATTTTCGATGCTCCATTGTTAGAAGCGCATTCATCACTAATCAAATGTAGCCAACAAAGCTTCATATTACATACATTCACCGCAGTATGCAATAACACAGAGCTACGAGTTGCAGGGATAGAGCGAGTCACAAGTAATTATTGCAACAGGGATTAGGAAGTAATCACTGGGAGGATGCCTGGAATGCATCGGATGCTGTGTATTTGTGTGCTTGTGTGCACAAGTGTCATTGGACATTTGTGTGCGTGTGGGTGAGGTGGTGATACACGTTAAGCTACAAGATTATGTTTGCTCAAAACCTTCATTTATAGAACAGTTAGGCCTAATTATACTATTATATGCATGAAAGATAATATTACAACCATAATACAATCATAATAATTACAGTTGGTCAAAGGACGATTATGTAATACCAACACTTTGTGTTTCCCGTATGTTTACGCTTTTCCTTGTACTTTTGTACATTTACAACTGTCATACGAAGGTTGTTGCTTTATAAATAACGGATACGCCACTAAATAATCAGGAAAGAGTCAACAGATCCATTAAATAATAATATGACTCATCCCGAATCTTTATCTCATAGATAAAAGTAAACGGCTACCTAATAATAATTAGAAAATTGTCGATGGTATGAATGATAAAAGTTATCAAAGAGAGTCATTTGCAGGTAATAACTAAATTACATATTTTTGAAGTATTAATTCCTTCATAAAACGATACAAAATTTATTCTATCCATTTCAATCAAACAATTCGAAGAATTTGTATAGGCCTAAATATTACCATATATAAAAAACGAAACCTTTTGTTTCGAGGAAACTGACATACTTATTAAGGTCGTGAATAACCGTATTCAAATTTTTAATCATAAAAATCGTGTAAAGTGCCTTAAATATAATTCTAGTTGAAATATACAGGGCGACAAAAAGTCTGGAAACGGCTTAATATATTTTTTTCTAAATCTATACTTATAAAAGGCAAAGCCCTCACTGACTCACTCACTCATCACTAATTCCCCCACTTCCCATTTACCTATAGGAGGCTGAAATTCGGAACACCGATTTTTTGGGCATTAAATAAGAAAACTAAGTAGTTTTTATTCTGATTGGGGCGATCGGGCATTCGGGCTCCGCCCCAGTGGCTCTGGAGTTTGCCATGTTAACCTTATGATTTGTCATATTTAAAAGGAATTAATGAATCTTAACAGCTTTTTCAATTAAACAAGTTGGTTCTGTTCTATGATGTTCAATAGCATTAAATTTACAAGGATTACCAAAAGGGTGCAGCACTATTATTTTTTAAAATTTATTACAACAGCTAATTTGCAACCAAAAGGTGAGTGAGCGTAGCGAACGAACTTTAACCTGGAGGCAAGTTAGCGTAGCGAACGAGCTAACCTGAAGGCAAGTGAGCGCAGCGAACGAGCTCCAACATAAAGGTGAGTGAGCGTAGCGAACGAACTTCAACCAGGACGTGATTGAGCCATGCGAACGAGCTCATCTTGAAAATTAAGAAGTTAAACGGGGCAAAGCCCGCGGGTACAGCTAGTCCCTTATAAAATTCAAACCTTTCACATCAATTTATATGTATGAGAACTATTTTTTGCAAGCATTACCATTTTTTTACCTTCACCAGGGTCGACTCATGAGGAGTAAGTACATAATCTTTAATGTAAGCATAGGTTGATATACACATCATTTTAAAGGGCTGGTCAAGTGGAATTCATTGCCAGAAACCGCGTCTCAAAAGGTTCATCCGTTACAAAATGGCGGCTGTCCAAAGTTCTCGTGGAATATACCGGCACAGTCCTTAGTATTGGTAAATACTCGTAGTCAACATTAGCTTGAGAGCTGAAATTTTGTTTTAAAGTCAACTAGCTCATAGAATAATATTATTCTATCTTCAAAACAAATTTAACCGGGTTTCAGCTTTCCCGGCTAATGTTGACTAAGAGTATTTACCAATACCAAGGCCTTTGCAGGTATATTCCACAAGAACTTTGAACTGCCACTATTTTGAAATATACAGGCTGAACCTTGAAATATACTAACGAATGAACCTTTTGAGACGTGGTTCCGGCAATGAACTCCACTTGACCAGCCCTTTAAAATGATGTGCATATCAACCTATGCTTACATTAAAGATTATGTACCTACTCCTCATGGGTCGTCCCCTGGTGAAGGTAAAAAAAGTGGAGAGGCGATTTAAATATTCCATCAGCAAACCCTTAATTAAGAATACACTACTGTCCAAATGAAAAAAATCAATTTTTCTACCATAGGTAAATCACACAAATGTAACACTACTTACGGCTCCATGAACTAAGAAAGGAAACACTAACAAACACGTCACTGTCACCATAATCCTATGAATTTGGGGGGATTTTTAGAAAATACCAATAAATTGGTTCCCCCAAAACTGGAAAAAATCCTCAATATGGCACTCGCAGCAAGGTGGCCACCGATCGGTGTTTGCTACTTGCTGATAACTGTCGTTATCAATGCCTTGTTGACATTCTGCTCTCTTCCAAACAATAAATTGTGCTCGATAACGTTTCTGTTCTCAATTCCCGTGGTTCTTGGGCTCATTCATTGATGTGAACTGGGTGACTTTTCCTTGCGTTCGAAAAAAAGTTTAATTTTGTTTAGGATTAATTTGTATTGTTCCTTCTAAGTCTAGTGTCTAGTTGAAACTTCGTTAGTTCTTTTTTGTGGGTATTAATATTTTCCAAGACTCAGATGCAGTTTGTTATTGGGCTATCTAATTTTAACAATGCATACCAGCAACCGTTTAACGTTAGATAATGGTTTGGACAGTTCCATTAAAACATATATACAAATATCAATGGCGTTAAAACATCATTGTAAATGTTATCCAATTTTACGATATTAGGAATATTTGTGCGACCTTGAAGTTAGCTAACGTGCAATTTGCTTGGAAACTGTAAACAAGCCTTACGGTAATCCTTTTATTTTAACTAGGTTAGTAATTAATTTAGCTGACATCTTCATGTTATCTTCGCGAGAATATGTGTCCAATACAGTTATCTTACGCAAACGTATATACATGTTTTACACCTTACCACAATAAACACTTGTCCATGTGCCTTGTAGCCTATAGATTGGCTAAATGTGGTTCTAAAACTTGTTAGTTACACAATTTACACAATTTTTAATGTTTATTAGGACGGCAGACGTATCAAGTAATAGCAACAGTAGTGTAAGTACAGTGTATACATTTTGGGCAAGAGGAGGTCGGAAATAAATAGAAGGTTTTCAATAATATGTCAGTGTTTTAGTTTAGGCTAAGTGAAGAAAATTATAAATAGGCTTACAAAAATATTCTCTGAAGTTTCCTTTCTGCAAACTCCAGTATTTGTATCGATTACTCCATTAATATGTTACTTTTGTAGTTCCAATTACTGATTTTATCGCAATTTACTTGCATACTAAAGTTTCAAACTTAATCTTAATGAATACTAAACAATCCGTTCACGTAATATTTTTCAAATAAATCCTGGTCTTAGTCATCAAGCAGATGCTCAAAACTTTGCGAGTTTAAGCTCACTTCAAAGCCTCTGTTATTCACTTTGGCGTTGCCAAGGTTAATCTGAACTCCACTAAATATTCAAAAGACTTTGATGTTTACTTGCTAACGCCCTGAATGCTAAATCAATTGAGAAATTTCTTTTCTTTTCATAATATTTACGTCCACCCTTATCATAAATTTTAAAAGTTAACTCACCTAATTTATTTATTTTTTTTTCGATTAACCAACAAAGTCAAAATAGGTTTATGTTCGGAATCATCCAATCTAATGTACAACAAATAAATATTTGAATAATGTTGTTTTTCTGTTAATACTGTTCAATGAAATGGCGACCATACATAGTAGGTATTTTAAGCCAAGTATGAATGGAGATGAGTTTAGGATGAGTGGCACGATCTTGTAGTCTTGTTAGTGACTAAGGCCGATATTCCTTAAACACAGCCCACAGCTATATTCCCATACAACTACTGGATACTAAGGGATCTACAGTTTATAGTGGAATCCGAACCACATTTTTCCTTGGTATATACGAATTGGTCTAATTATCAGGATAGTACTGCGGATAGTCGTAGTACTCACTCTTGCGGACGTTAATCCACACCAGGGAGTATCATATCCACAGTGCATGCCTATAAATTTCCATCAAACATGTGTACGGGTAATATACTATTCACATGCTATGAACATTAGTGGTATACGTAGAACTCATATAACTTAACCAAGTAACGGAATCTATGTATGGATGGCATACAGGCATTGCTACCCACACATACATTCATCATACGTACGTACACATACACACCTTGGATCATTCAGTAGATGAAATTCACTTGAAAATACTATCACACTAGTTTTGATTACGTCTATGTACACTGGTAAAACAACCTTTCTATACTTATATGAACCTAACGTTCACTCATCTTAAACAAGTATTTGATTAGTTAATACACAATTCCACTGTCATAATATATATAATTTATTTGTGGATGGAGTTTATATCCCTATTTGAAGGGAAAAAATATTTCAAACAGTATTTGAAATGGGAGAGTAATTAATGATACGCATAATTTTAATCATACTATTCCATGACGAAAATGTTCTTACTGTAAATTTCCAACATAAAGGTATTGCTGTATATGCTCAAGCTTAGCTTAGCTAAGCTTCATAAGCACTTAAAGCTTAAGACATAGACCTAGAACCGATTTACGGTACACAATTAGTTTGGATTCATATACGATTAGATTAGTTAGGTTAGATTAGGACAATGATATTAGAATTAGATTAGAATTAGATCCATGATAGTTCTAGTAAAAACATCCAATCTAAACAATATTTTGTTCAAAAATGTAACCTAGGTTTATTTGAACCAGCATGTATGGCCTCTGGGAACGGGGTTTATAGGGGAATGGGGGGGGGGGATAAAGGATAGAAATAGGGTTTCCTCATGTTTGATTCTTACAAATTAAAATTTTACAATTTATTTTAAATCATCTTTTAAAGTTTAATTAAATGATTTAGCACATTGAAGCGTTATTGTAGCGTAATAAATAAAAACACAATCCCCAAAAACAATAGATAAAACAATTCTAATATTATTCCTACGGAAAATAAGCAAAATATTGTACACTGCTTGTTTATGGACATGTTATGATGAAAAAGCACAGCCAATTATTTCATACTAAGCTATCAACATTTCACTAAAAACATACTTTTTTAAACTTTCCTGTAGTATAAGCTGGGTACTAGTAAAACCTAATGTTATTTTAAAAAGGGATGCAATCTGACACGTTAAAGTTTTATAAATTCCATTTAGGCAAATGGAAACTCTCTTAGTCTGCAGGTCTGCTGTGGTGGAGGTATTTCAGCATTACATTGAGCTATGTTAACAAAAATGTCATATGAGTTATGGGAACAAAAGTTTGTAAAGGATCAAAACTTACTTCATGCTCTATGAAGTAGACTCTAAGACTTACTTCGTGTTCTATGCTCCTTTAGTTTATGCTCGTCTTATTTAGCATATACTATTTTCTGTTTTTTTGTTTTTTAATGTGAAATAATATTTTATTCAATAAGAAACTTGCAATCTATGGCATGTAACAAAACATTAATATTGTTTCAGTACTAATAGTAAAAGAAAGTATATATTTCAAGTTTAATATTAGATAGTAAACAAAGAAAAATACTAATTCATAAAAATGAAAGGTTAGTTTAACATAATTGTGTCAGGTGTCTAGCGCTACAGGTAGACAACGATCATATTGGTAACATGTCGCCTTCATTGGTTAGGGTTATCATGCTTCGCTCATGTTATGATCATCGAAAAGTCAAACACGCACTCATGAACACGAAGGACGTAATCTTAATATACTGTTACATAAAATAATTAATTGACAAAGCTGTGGTCACGGGTATGGCGTCAGACATGTCATACACTTTTTTAAAACTGTACAAGTTCATTAAAACAACACTGGTTTAAAACAATGTTGTTTTAAATGTTTGAAATCTTGCTATATCAGTCGCTCGTCCAGTTACTCAAGAAGTTTCAAATAAATAAGATACAACAATACTGCGAATCACCATTATCATAGATTTTTACCAGTCTGCTATACGGTGTTTCTATTAAGTTGTTGATTTAAAATCGTAAATAGTTTAAACAAAAGTACTCTAGAGTAAACACATAGTTCTTACGTTTAGGTTGTGGGACAGATTTTGGAATTTTATTTTGCAGGAGGAAAGAGGAAAATGTGAAGAATGGAGTCTCAGGTTTTCCTTCATTATTCAAAACCAAGATTAATGGAGCTGATACTTTTTTCCTTGACGTATACCTTTCATCGACCTTCAACAAGTGAAAATCTATTCTCTGTGAAAATATGACTTCTTTGTCCTTTTTATAACAATCATATAGTACTTCGTTCTACTTTATGTGTACATAACTTTGCCAAATATTATTTCAATGTAGCCTATTAAATTGTAAAACAATTCTGTACAAAAATATGACATTTTAGGCAGAGAATCTTTGTTTCAATGACTTGCAGGAAATACATTTTTATAATTTGGAAATCTTTACTGGCTTAAAAACACTAACTGTTAAGAGTGTGTGATACCACGTTCGTTAACGTCCATAATTTATTAAATAATAAATACATTGGAATTCTGCAGAATCTTACACTAAAACTTTTATGGTAAAAGTCCCTTCAAATTAACAAGAAAGGCACTCAGTAAACCTATTATATAAACTTTAATCAGGTAGTTGTTAGTACAAACTTCATAAGTTTCAATCAGTGTGTATCGATATTTAGTTTACATGCACATCGATTTAATAAAGGTAATGACAGTCATGACTCATCTTCCGGCGTCGCCACACGTGTCCCCCGTGATTAATTACACTGGCCAGTTTTTACAATATTATTCGTTTTTTGTGTTTTTCGTGTTCGTTATGTGTTTTATGTGTATCGACGAATCTAACCAAATTGGTTAGATGACCACTGACGTTTTTGTGAACCTGAAGATGGACTTATTTTCAAGTCCGAAACTATAGTAGTATAATACTGAAGAAGGATCACTTGACGAAGCCAGGTAAATTAAACCATTCAGCCTAATTTGTTGAAAACTAATTTGATCAAAAACAATTTTGGTTTCTTTGTTTGAAGTTCATTGTTGGTGATGGTGAGTTAATGTTGTTCAAAGGTTTATTGCGGACATTTCCATCATGAAAGTAAAAAACAATACACAACGTTTCGGGATCTGGGATCTGATCCCTTCTTCAGGTCATCCCGTCTTTCAGTCTCATTGGTGGAGTCATTGCGTACGGTGCTAACGGTAACTTTAGTGTTCCATTGTGTGAGTTTTTTACGTGAAACCTTTTATAGATTATAGTGTTCTGTGATTTGTTTTTAATTGCATGTTGTATCATGAGTTGACTGCTATACAGTGCATAAT